CCATCCATTGCATCGGCCAAGGGCTTTTTATCATCCTGCGAGTTGAGTTCCTGCTTGGCAGCGGATGCGGAAGTGCTAGGGTGCTTGGCTTGCGCTATGATCTGTATGTCCGCCTTGGTGTCTGTGTCGCTGCTGTCCTGGCTGATCAGGGTGCGTAGCCTCTTGGCAAACTCAATGGCCGGAGAGGCGGGCGCCGGCGCTCGCGCCGCCGGCTCATGTATTACCACCATGGGCTGCACATTGTAGCGCGGACGCGCCTGGCTCTGATTCGAAGGCGAACGCACCTTTTTGCTGGGCGACTTGCGTTTGTCCTGCTGTGGCGAGGCACCGCTCGCTGAGCCAAGCAGCGGACTGAGTCCAGATAGAGGAGACACATTATTTGCCGTCTGGCGACGCGGTGAAGTTTCGCCAAAATTAATCGCCGTCTTCTTCGCGTGCGCATGATGAGGGCCATGATGATGGCCCACATTAGGCGTGCTGCTGTTGGCATTATTATAGCTGCTGCTGCTGTAATAGCTGGAATTGAGGCGCATTGCATGTGCTCTCAATGCCACGTCATCGCACATGTCCAGGGARGAGCTGCTGTTCTCCTCGTCTCCAGTGGTGGTGTCTATGACCAATGTTCGACTGGCATCATCCTCTTCACTCCGCTCCGCATCATCGCTGTCCACAGTGATAGCAGCGCTTATCAATTTCTCGCCCTGAGCACGCACGCCATGTGCACAGGTCAGGTTGCTGCTGAGCGGCTCGAGGCACTGCTCATCATAGAGGGTGGCAGCGCGAAAGGATAGTTTAGCGGGCAACATAGCTCTGGTSCCATAAAARATGCGTCCATTGAGATATTTCAATTGACAGCCCGGAGGTTTGCCCTGCGGCGGCGAATCCTCCTGCAGATCTTGTATGGTTTCTGCAAATGAGCCACTCGTGTTGCCCAGAACCTCGTGCAGAATCATGGTCTCCGCTGGCGGCAGCACACTAAAGTAAATAATCATAATTATATATAATATATGATATGTGTACGAGAGAGTTTTAGTACGAACCGCTTTGGAGGCTTGGCCTGTGGAAATTGCTGTACAAACCAATCGCATAGGAACTGATTGCCTTTTAGCAGTGGCAGGATCTTTGCCTCCACCTTCTTCATGCTCACGCTGGGCAGCTCGGCCAGTTCACTGAGGCAGGCATAGATCTTGCGCACTTGCGCCGGCTGTTTAGAAAAGTAAATGTTCAGCTTGTTGATAAAGTTGCTCGCGTTGGTGATCATGAAGTACTCGAAGTATTTGCCCAGCTCAGCGGCCTCGGCAGGTAGCAAAAAATTGAGAAACACCTCCGCCAACTCTGGATAATCGGGTAGCAGTAATTTTTCCACTTTCTAGACATATCAATATGTATAATATATAASTAGAGTCAGGGAGTGYGAAAGTACAGCACTTACCAAATACAAATCKGCAACYTTATCCTGCTTGGGGTCGAACGTTTGCAGCAGATGATTGAACTTGTGACAGTCGTCCATGCGATTGGAGGACAGCAATGCCTCCTCCACTTTCTCATAGAAGTTGTAGGCAAAAGCTAGAATTACAGTTAATTAAAAAAAGTTGAATAGAAGTAACTCTTTGGGTTATCTTACTGGCATCCTTGCGATTGCGCTCTTCTGGACTATCCGGCTGCAGCATGTGCCGCAGCATCTCCTCCTGTCGGTTGGCTCGTCGTGC